CCATTTAATAGTGACCTGTGTTATATTATGATAAGTGGGACAAAGTTTTCACTCTTCCAAGGCTTATCAACCATCCTTAGACGAGCTGTATCATGCATAGAAATACATAGGAAATTTTACATAATTATTCATGACTTATTTCATATAGTTCATATTATTTTAGTCACGTCTATGTGATAAAAGAACATTTGACATAATAAGGTCACATAATATATGATCATATGTATCATGTGATGTGATCATACATATTTATTATACCAAAGGTGCAAGTTTACATAGCAACGCGTCTACCATACTACATACAAAAAATGAAATTATTTTTTTGGGATCTAAATAGTACATCCTTAGAAATCTCTCCATAATGCATTTCTACGAAATAAATTATCGGGAATCTATTGTCACGTCTACGCACAGACTCCTTGTTCTGCCCTTTCTAAGACGTATTTTGCGAAGTCTGCACAAACATAGATCTTTCAAGAAAGGAAGGATTTCTTATTACCGCTAAGCTCAATTTACATTGCCGCGGAACGGAATGAGAGCGAGTTTTTATAACGGGATTGTACATAACATAATGAATTTTATACCAATGTAAGTAAAAATGGTGTTTGTTACGTACAAATTAAATACGATACGGCAGCGATGGGAATTTCTGAAACTGCGCGAGAATTCTCCGGAAGACGCGCGACCTGGTTTTTGACTTGTATCAGTTTGTACGTTACACAATTGATATAAAGATTGATATTACAAAAATTTTCTCCCAATACATTCCGCGGCAATGTCAATTGAGCCCTACGCTTATTATGCTTTTGTAGGCAGGCAGGGTGGAGGTGGCTAGTGCAGTGAGGATTTCATCGCTGCGCTAGGTTCCTTCGCGTTTGGATACCACTTTCCACTTAACATCAGGTGGAGTGGAGTCATTTATGTAATATATATATATATATATTTCTTTATTTCGGACTTAAATTATCCATAGTATGTTAATAACAGCAAAAACTTAAAGTAAGGTTAGTACAAACAAAATGAAAATTCTAAAACCACAACTACAGCTCCCATTGGGCCACACCTTTTGTTTGACTCATCCAATATTCTGCAATTGGACAGTCAAACCTCCAAGCGATAGCGTTCAGAATGCTGTTGGTACATTTGCCTGTCATGTATAAAAAAAAAAAAAAAAAAAAAGGCAGTTTAGGTTAGGTAACGCAGCAAAACTGATTCACAGGCTGCTGTCCATTGCCTGGTGCTTCCTTTGCCACTTAAGGGAAAAATTAGACGCTAGTAAAAACGCTGCAGTGGCGCGTTCGTGGCGCTGGAGCTGCGCTTCTAAATATTGTATGATAAACAGTAGTGACTCGACTGCTACGTTTGATTTGAAGGCACTCTAAGATCACAACACAGGAAAGATCAACATAGTAGAACAGCAGCAGCAGTAGGTAGAGTTCCTTGTTCAAGAGTTCGTCCAGGGAAGTACTTCCACCTTACCTATTTCTACCGCCAACCAACAATGTGATGAGCATTAATTCGTTTCAGTTTTGAAAGGTAAGGGTGCTGGTGAAATTACAAGCACACGGGACTTCTTAACTTATCTGAGACATAAGCCCTCAGGCCTTTGCGATTTAAAGTTCTTAAGCGGCACTGCAACTGTTATGGACAGGCGTGTCGCTTACCATCAGGCGCATGACTTGTTCGTTCCGTCACTTGGTATCATAAAAAGACAAAAGATTTACGCCGATATACCGTCGGTGTTTTGTAGAAAGGACGAAAGCGCCTTTTCGTAAAATTTTTCAAGGAAGAATGTTTTAGGTTTTAACGACTGTTTTAAAATATGAAAGTGCCGTTTCAAAATTCAATTTTGGTATCAATTAAGTTTAAGTGTTAAAATTGAATTTAAAACAGGACGTAAATATTTTAAATCAGTCGTGAAAAACAAAAACCAGTTGCTTTCTAAAAACACCGACGACATGTGTGTGAATGTGTATGTAAACTTTCCAGACACAAAACTCTTCTTTCTGTCAAAGAAAGTAATAGAAACGATAGTATACGAATTGAAGCTACGCTCAAGACTTTCCTTTATCTCAGAAGAAGTCATCTGGAAACTTCGCGTCCGTTGAATTGAATTGACATCGTTACAGACACTTAAATCCCTCTTCGCAAAGTCGATATCTACTTCTAATCTTTTGCACATTGAAAGATACTGGAAACTACTTGTTATGTATGCCAAGTTTTCCGTATAGTTCTTGGATAAAATTAAGATCACCACTTATAGCTTACTTATGCTGGGTGGGGGCATGGTTCTTCGTCTAGGAAGTGTATTTATGATTGTTACCATAAAACAGCAGTGCTTTGTTCCGGATATCCAGATTCTACAAACGAAGTTTTACACTTAAATAGGAGAGTTATAAAATTTCACATTCGTCGCCTTGGATGAACATGGTATCAATTCAAAAATTTGGGACCCTAAAAAACTCGAAATCTTTCTAATGAAAAAGGTCTTATAACGATCGGACGTGAAATGGCGCGGGAGGAAGAGTAGTATCCCTTAACTTTTTGCACGTTTTGGCCTCAAACATTGAGCAACAAAGTCGTATTCAGTATAGAGTATTTTTTTGAGATACTACTATGTTCCTCAAAGTTTTATCGTAATGAATATTATTCTTTCTTTCTTTAAAAGTATTAAGCATGAATAGTTTAGTTAAAGTACTGAATCACAAATCGTCGCCTTACTTTCTCAAACTCGTATCTTAAAGCACAAAGTTACTGAAATGCAAAAAATAGATTGTATAAAACATACAAATTTTGCAGGCTGATTTCACAACACATTTCCTTTATCTTCACACGCTGGCTTTTACCTATTCTTAAAGCAATGCATCCAAATTAATAGACTCGATAAGAAATTTAAAATAAATATAAAGTTTTGCCCTATCCTGAATAATCATAGCAGCGGAAATAATGCTAGAAGAAACTTTAAAATTTCTCTCCTGAAAAATCTGTGTATTTCAAATAATACCCTGTTCATAGGGACCAACGATATACATAGTTTCACGTAGGTAGTTCGTATAATTTTTATCACTTTAATGTGATAAAAATAATACAGTCCCTGGAGGAACTCTTACTTATGGAGCTCTACTGCTACAAAACGACAAAGTAAGACGAGTAAAACCACATGGAAACGTAAATCTCAATGTCGGAGAATGTTTAGAAGTCTTCGAAGAGAAGTAAAATTCCCAATTCAGATCAGCTATAAGCGTAAAAAGATTCTCTATTTAAAAGTTCTTATATTTAACACAAGATGAACTCGAATTTGTAGTCGGAACACGCAGTAATTTTACAAAATCTGCAACCCCAATCTGTGGGAACTGCGCTACGGCCAATTTGAAAAACATAACGTAGTGTCATGGCAGCGACCACATACGCCCGGTTTATGACGCGAAAAATTAAAGTGCCCCATAATGCTTTATAGAGGAAAGACCCAAGATACTTTGTGAATACAGAGATTTGAGCTATAAGTACTGTAGAGATCGTATATTGGTCTTCATCTTCTGGCTCTTGTGGCAGATGAATGAATAAATGAAATCATGACTGTAACCGCAGGTCTAATTATAACATTTTTTTTAAATCTTCATTTATTTAGGATATTTTACACAACGTAAACTATAGCTTACACGTCTGGGTGGTGCTGCCGCAGAGCCGATTTAGCAAATAGCAACAGTCTTTTTGCCTGTTTCGTATTGGGGTAACCCAGTATACAATTTAAAACACCAGGGATGTTCGGTTAATTAACAATGTCCCTAAACAACGCAACCCTTTGTTGCTCGTACCGGATACATTCAGTAACAAGTAATATGCATCTTCCACCACTCCGCATAACTGGCAATTTGGAGAATTGGTTTGGAATTAGTTGTCATCCTTGGCGCGATGACAACTCTTTTCCTTCCATAGTCGCATTCTGCAATGAAAAGGTAAACAAGGAGGCTGACACTGCATTGTGCGGTACCATAACGTTTTTGACGCATTCATTCACTATAATATACCAACTACCTTGTATTCAATTGACAAGCCTGTCAAGAGGCTTACAGATGACTCGGAATTAGTAAATGCGTAGCTGCAGAATCTTGAACACCTGCGTAAAGTTGCCTGCTTATCGGTTTTCTACAGAATATATCCACTGAGAGAGTATGATTGGAATTACACAATTTAATTTCTACTTTTTGTTTGTTAAAAATACTCATAAGTTTATTTTCAATATTATATTTTTTCTGTACTTACTTTATTAAATATCGTATTTTTTTTATTACTTCTTATGATATTAAGTGACGGGACGAACAAGTCGTGCACCTGTTGGTTAGCGACAAACCTATCCATAACAGTTGCAGTGCCACTCAGAGCTTTGAAACACTGTCACCCAGAGACATAAGTTGATAAGTCTCATGTGTTTGTAATTTCACCACCTTTCAAAACCAGAACGCAGTAATGCTCAATGCTCAAACATAGTTATAAACATTATACAACATTTATAATTTCATTATCGTATTGTAAACTTTATAATTTAGACTTTACGTCCATTCTACATTAAAGTGTCATTTATTATATGATATCAAATGACTAGAGTAACAAATCGTGGGCTTGGGGGTAAGCGACACACCTGTCCATAACAGGCTATAGTGGTACTCAATGAAATTATTGTAAAGACCTGAGGTGCACCGCCACTGTGCCCGTCATCCTGAGTAATAAAATTGAGAAGTCCCATGTGTATGCAGTTTCACCAGCATCTTTGAAAGCCTGGAACGCAACTTGGCGGCAAAAATAGGTAAGATTCACAAGCACTCTGTGGTTCAGGTTGTACTCGGGGCGGGTATTGAACTCAGGATTACCCATATTAAAGACAAGTATTTTGCCAACAGGCTATTAGAGAGCTTTGCAAACATCTATTTAAGATGTTGGTGAAATAATATTCATTAGAAATTATTATCACTTTTAGAAATTACATAAAATAACAGTCTTACCATGGTCCATAACAGAAAATACGGCACCACTTTCTCGATCATATTTGCTGCGTTCCTGTGCCTAATATTACTGTAGATTTAACACAATTTTATTCAAAATTATCACGAAATATTTTGTGCACAAAACGGGATGTCTAAAACGTCTTTTCGTGACATGCTTAGAGGATGGAAAAGTCTAAGGTGACATGCTATGTATTTTATTGTACTCTTTGGTGACATTATCTAGACGCTAACCGCGAAAACTACAAAAAAAAAATTCGTCTTTGATGATAACCGTAACTTTGAAGAGATGGGAAAAAAGCTTAGAGGATAGAAAAGAAATAAGTCTAAGGAAGGAAGCAAATATTTAATGATCTTAGGCATTGATATCATTTGATCGTTTTCATACTAAGGTACCACGGTGAGGTAAGGTAAGGTACCATTTATTTGGGTAAACAAAAATTCCAGCATACAACCTCTTCATATATTAATATATTTCGCTCTTTGATTTTGATCCTTGTTTTGAAGGGAAAGAAGACAAGCGCCTGTATAATTCATTTAATGTGTCTTTACCTTATTTTTCGTCCATCCTCTAAGGTCTTTAGGGATAAGCCAAGAGAAATAAGAAAGTTATTTGAATCCATCTTAGATTATGGAAGCACCTCTAAGTATTTGAAGCTTTATTTTTTTCCATCCTCTAAGTTTTGAAGCCTAAATTATTTTTTTATTTTTTACTGACAGTGGCTAAAAAGCCACCTTTTTAAGAAATTACAAAAAAGTAAGAAACTGAACATTTAATCTATCTTAAACTAAAAATAACAAGTTTAATAAGTGGAAGACTGTAGTCTCTGCCTACCCCGATGCGAAAAGGGCGTAAAATTCCATGCTCTAAAGTGAAATGTGTGTATGTACGGAAATTAAAAACTTGTTTCATTCTGACGTGGTACGTCAGAATATAGCATTTAGAAATGCTTTCTCTTCTTTTTTTTCCCTTCCCGCTTTTTTACATATTTACCTGGTTTGTTCTTCCACCTTGCACATCGTAAAATTAGATTACTCAAAAAAATGGTCATCCAACCTCCCGCGCCCTACTGAACTACCCAACGACTAAGGCGCCAAATTAAAGAATATGTGAAAAAAAGTACTTAGTTATCCAAGAACTCAAAAGTTGAAACGGTTTAGATGTTTGTAGCAAGCAATGTATAATGCTTATTTATTTATTTATTTATTCATTCATGGAAAACCAATAGCTTCTTACATTTAATAAAAACAGGAACATAAACATAAAACCAATTAAAGATTTCAACTTATACCTTCAAATAAATCATACGCGTGCTTTTAATATAGTCACGATGCAATTATATACCTTGATACAATTTGACAACCTTTAGAAAGATGGAAATATCCGTGGACAACAAAAATAAAATAAGACGACTTATTTAAATAAAATTTATTATCAAGTAAAACTCCATATAAAAATGAACACTTACTATATATCTCTTTTATAAATTACACGCATACTCGTTTATAACAAATTACATAATTTCAAAATTTAGGACAAGTTTCACAAGTGGATGATTTTGTACAAAAGACTTTAGTTAAAAACTAATTAGTACTAATGTAGTTTTACTTGTCGGTATATTTCCATTGACAAAGTCCAATATAAACTGAAACTATGGCAATGGAAAAAATATGACAAATATTTGATAGGGTTATTTGCAAAATAGTAACAATCTATAATAATAATTTAACTGCCTCCGTGGCCGAACGGTTACCATGCCGGACTGCCACGCAGAGGCCCCAGGTTCGATTCCCGGACCGAGAGAAATATTTGTATGGCCTACATTTATTTCTCTCGTGAGTTTGGGTGTAATTTGTGGTTGTCTGTGTGTGTCCATGACACCCGCCACACAGGGTTTCCCTAGTGCGGGGCTATGTTGAGTGTGTGCGTTATGTGTGCGTTAATCGCGCAAGACTTTTGTTCTATAACTTTTTACAAACACAATAAATGTACCAAAATAAACTTTTATTTTTTTATTGTACTATCCGACACTTTGTAGATCTGTATTTGGTAGTAAGTTGCTCCTGTGTGCTTTCTTTTGCTACCGCACAGAAATATCACCGTTTAGAGCGGTCTATATTTATATAAAATATTTATATTTTAAATTTTAATTTTAAATTTTAATTTTAATTTTAAACTGCCTCCGTGGCCGAACGGTTACCATGCCGGACCGCCACGCAGAGGTCCCAGGTTCGATTCCCGGGTCGGGAGAAATAGTTGTATGGCCTACAATTATTTCTCTCGTGAGTTTGGGTGTAATTTGTGATTGTCTATGTGTGTGTGTCCATGGCACCTGCGACACAGGGTTTCCCTAGTGCGGGGCTATGTTGAGTGTGTGCGTGTGTGCGTTATTTATATTTTGTACGAAAGTAAAATGTAATGAATTTATTAAAGCGTGAAACACACAAAGAGCGGGTGCGGGTCGGGTGCGTGTCGGGTCGGACGTCAGACGACGGGTGTGTTTATTTTTTATATAAATACACGAAATTAGACCCGCCGTGCTCCCGATCCGCACTCGCTATCCTTGTGTTTTACACGTAAAAGTCATGGAACAAATGTTATTGTTTATGATGTTAGTAATACAATCCTGCGAGTTGTAAATTTTTTACAAATAACCCTGTATATTTAGATCAGTTACATTATTTAATAATTGGTATTGATGTAACGATATAAATAAGACACCTTAAAAATTATACGAACATTATAAAGCCATAAACACACAACACAGCTTGTATGTCGTAACTTAAGCACCTCTTTGAGATAGTTCGTAATATTAAAAAAGCGTAAATAAAGGTTTGATCTACTTTAAAAGCCGATTCAAAAAATATTTACAACTATTTATAGAATTGCATTTACTTGGCATTGCATTTATTATGTACTAAAAAGTTACAATAATTCTAAACTATACGTTTTTTCTCCTTATTATATATGAAAAGAGTGACTTTAAAAAATACAATTTCGAATACAAGAGAATAAATAACATTTAAGAAAAACTGTAATAGACAGAATTTCGTGAAACGCTTTCCACTGAACTTTTAATTTGCTTGCGAACTGATATAAGGGTACAAAGTTGTCTATGAGATTTCTACTTACGAATATTTACATTATTATACATGTAATTCTTAGCCGCATATCTATTCGGAATTCTATCTTGCATTTTTCAATACAGGGTGTACAAAAATAGACGTGAAACATCGTTACATGACTTCACTCTTGATACTGAACAACTTTACATATAAAACCCATATTCGATGCACAAAAAATATTTCCTACCACTATGAAAAACGCGATCAACTGGAAGTTGGGAAATGGGGTTGTTCAATCGTGGTTTAACTTAAGATTTACATTCAACTCTATGCCGAATGCAATATGATCGATTTAATATGTCAAGCGTCATGTGCTCTTGACTGTACCCATCCCACAAAATTTTACTTACAATTTTTTCCGAAATATGAAATTTAAATTTTAGTGTTCTTTGTTTCAAACATGGTCGATTACTATTCTAATGTCAAATTTCAAAGTTTGTAACTGAAAAGCTAAATATAATAAAGTGGTGAACACTCTTCGGTGAAAAGTGGTCGTATATATACAGTCTATACACATAGTTACGTCTTTACATGCCGTTGTAGGCCGGGCCACCGCCGCCTTCGGGAACCACCCAGTTGATGTTCTGAGATGGATCTTTGATATCGCACGTTTTGCCTGAAAATAATAAAACCCATATGATATTTATTTGTATTTATACATACTGTGGACTTTCAAGTAAACCTTGTTGAAACCTCTGGTGAACAGAAGGGCAAAGCGGAAACGTTGTCAAGCTAATGAGTACAATGCCCTAGTATTTGAAAAGAGTATCCGTATATACATTAATTTCTTAATGTCCGTTTCAATCCGTTAATAGGTTTAAACCGTTCGAAAAAAAATATGTTGATGCGGTAAGAGCGAAAAAGACTTTCTGCGTTTCGTATCTTTTAATAATAATAGCTTTATTTCATCTCAATAATCGTGGTACGATGATAAGGATGGAATAATAAACCTGTGTCAGAGGACTCCGCTCACGCACAACTACATTTATTTTAAAATTTAATACTAATTAATATATTAGAACCTAACCTAAAACTACCACGTTATTAATCGAAGAGTGAAAACTATCGAAGTACGATATTTAATTAAACATTTTCCTTGGAAAAAATAGTCCCTCAGTGTTAATTCTGAGTTTGCCCTGTACAAATAGCACCTTTCAATAATAAAGTGACGTAATTTAAAAAATAACATTTCACTTCTCATGCTCTTAAAAGTTCGTATTTATGCTGGATGTGGGCTAAAATAGGATTTTATGCTCTAGTGTATAAAATAAAAAAACCATCTCATTGAATGTCGAATCATTGTAATTTTACATTCAATTTTAATTAAATAATCTTTTATTTGTAATATCGCTGTTTAATTTCCTCGCAATCGAAGTGAAAAGCAGAGTGTATAACTCGTTCATAAAACCCATTTTACCTTCGACTTAAGTATCCACTCTCGCCTGCGACTCGGGTGGATATACTCGTCTCGGGTAACATAACGCGTTTTATGCGCTTGTTGTACAATCTACTATTTTAACAAATTACGAAATATATCAGTTTTTCGTGTCAAGTACAATTTTGGCATACTTGCCTGGTGTCACGTATGTTATTTTTTAAATCTATTTTATCAGTTTCCCAAAAATTCCTTTAACAATTATGCTACTTAATAAAGTAATAAAAACATTTCGCAGGCTAAGTAATAACTTAGCCTGCGAAATGTTTCTTAGTCGTACGTATTTGTCACTCTGAAGCGACGTTTTCTTTTATGATACCAAGTAACAGTGCGAACAAGTTGTGGGCCTGGTGGTAAGCGACGCCTGTCCATAACAGTTGCAGTGCCACTCAGAGCATTAAATCGCAAAGATATGAGGGGCACTGCCACTGCGCCCATCATCTTGAGACATATTACATTTCAAACCCGGAAGGCAGTAATGGTCACATTACTGCTTGGCGGCAGAAGTAAGTTAGGTGGCAGTACTTCCCTGGACGAACTCTTTCACAAGGAGTTCTACTGCTACTGAAACGTTTATCTTATCGTAAAGCTTATCATGTTTTAGACAAAATGTTGTTTCTTCTTGTAACCGCTAGAGGCGCTACATAATTTGTCACATAAAATTGTGAAGTAATTTACGCGGTCGCTAGCGACAATTGTCACAGTAAACTCGTGATAGGGGGAGACAAAACCTGTTTTCTTAGTGTCGCATATTATGTCTATATCAACAGTAACCACTTTATTAGGTGTGCGGTATAAACTGTAAGCCGGTTGGAAAATCTATAATTATAACTTTTTAAAAAAACAAAAAAGACCTCAAATGTGTGATGAATTACATCAATTTGCCAATGATAATAATAACGCACACACTCATTGCCCCGCCATAGGGAAACCACTATGGACACACACAGACAATGATATTATACGTCACACAGAGGTAGACCACCATAAATTACACCCAAACTCACGAAATAAATAAATGTAGCCCATACAAATTTTTCTCCCGGCCCGGGAATCGAACCCGGGACCACTGCGTGGCAGTCCATTGTGGTAACCATTCGGCGACAGAGGCAGTTATATTGAAATCGGTTAGTACCACTATTGACGTACCCTCTTTCCAACAAGAAAAGAATCATCCAAATAGGTTCACAGTATCGGAGTTATCGCTTAACATAGACAAAAAAATACAATCGAATTGAAAACTACCGTCTTTTTTGAAGTCGGTTAAAAATAGAAAAATACTAACAATGTATGCAATTTTGTGCGTTGATCTGTAGTCTCTGCCCGTCGCCGCTCTCCATTGGCACGAATTCGTATACACCTGCAAAATGTTAAAATTCGTAAACCTTTCTCGTAAGCGGTTTCATGATTGTACAGTCAATAGCACATTAAGCTATACACTTATGTTCAATACGTAGCTTGATGTGCTGCCGTCTGTACGTCATGGTGATAAAGTCAAATAATCTTTATTTCAGAGGTAAGCAAATTAGGCAGATTCCCCTGAGAAGAATGAGCAAGAAACTCTAGGGGTTGCTCTTTGTAAATATACATTTGAATACATTTATCATTACAATATTTTATTTAAACATTAGATCGAGAATACCTGAAAGAACTAAACGGGTCACTACCACGGATTTTTGTCATCCAAGTACATAGAAATTTATTAACAACCTTTAGCATAAAGTTTTTGTTTCACAACAGTTTTGAACCTCGTAAATGGCAAATTTTGAATATCAATCGGAATCTTATTATTGAAGTATACACATTGCACCTTAAATTAATTTGAGACTTTTAGAAGATGACTGTCAAGAACAGTTGGTTTATTTTCCTATTAATGTTACGTTTGTCACTATTTTACATAAAAAAAAAATATTTTTCTTAACACTTAAACATTTTCATAAATGTAATGTGACGTTAGTGTAAGAATGTTAATCTCTTTAAACTTATCTCTCAAGTATACTCTGAGGCCCAGATTGTATATTGCCCTAACCGCACGTTTCTGCAGGACAAAGATTCTATCAATATCAGCGGCATTGCTCCAAACCAAAATGCCGTATGTCATTGAACTGTGAAAGTGGCTGAAGTAAACCAATGTAGCTGTTTCGATGTCTGAAAGTTTTCGTATTTTTCATATTTACTTAAAACATATTTAAGACAAGTCATTGTAAATAAAAATAGTGACAAAAACACTGACAGATATGTTTGCCAAGGGACAACAATTAAATACTACTAAACGGGCCGAATATTTATTTCTCTTAACATTTTTCTAAACATGTTTGGCCCTAAAAAAGAACAAACGTAAAAGCATATGACAGAACTTGGTTCTCGGTTCAAGTGTTACAAAAGAGTTTAAATCTTTTAACTTTCTCTTTATCAAATCCCGATTGTTTGAAAGGACAAAGATTTTTGTTTTGTTATTTTACAGTACATTTCAAGTGGAATTGAACTAGTGCGATTAAGAAAAATAATAATAATAATAACGCACACACTCGACATAGTCCCGCACTAGGGAAAAAGCCATGTCGCGGGTGCCATGGACCCACAAATAACGCCCAACTCACGAGATAAATAAATGTAGGCTATACAAATATTTCTTCAGGCCCGCGAGCCGAACCTGGGACCTCTACGTGGCAGTCCGGCAAGGTAACCGTTCGGCCACGTTGGTAGTTATTAATCTAATTAATTAACCGCACTAGAGCTGAAATCACAGAAAAGACAAACTGGGCGGAAATGTGCCATCTCGCATAATTCTATTGACAACGTTAGTGGCCCAACGGTTTGAACATAGGTACTGGATGAGGAGGTCCCAGGTTCGATTCCCGGTACAACCAATTTGAGATATGAACTTTTCTGAATTGGTTCTGGTCTGAGTGTTCTCAATAGTGCCCCGGAGCGAATTCCGTTACTTTAGTACACATAATACAGGGAATTCCCTAATTTGAAACTAGGTAATTGATGTAGTTGTCTGGTACATTGTCTAGTACATTATAGACATAGACAGCAGTGGCGAGGCGTGAAAATTTTCCTTGGTAAAGCCAAAGCTTCAATTTTTTAAGAAACAAAAAAGCAGTTTAACAAAAACTTCTATTCTCGTTAAAATTCGTATTCTCGTGTCGCCTTGGCGACATTTAAACCACAACACTTATTAGCACACAGATACATATAATTCACATCATTTCACTGGTTAACTTATTCTACACATAAAATGACTATAATTTTAAAAGTAATTTATTGAATATTTTTTAATATAAGTTTTTTAAGTCAGGCGGTATGCGCGCTGTCTTCACGTGTAAATTTTTGGCAAGCCCGTGGGAATCGAGTACATGGACGCCGCGCCACTGATAGACAGATTAGTACCTATTTCTCAGAAATGTACGGAAAAATGTCGCTGAGACGTCAAGGCTATAACCAAACTCGTGACGATTAAATTCAAATTCAAGTCTTCTTTATTTTCATAGGTAAGCAAATTACATTTGAAATCGTCATATGATTAAACTCTACCGCTCATTCGTAAGGCAGATTCCCCTGAGAAGAATGAGCAAGAAACTCTAGGAGTTGCTCTTTGTAATATACATTTGAATACATTTATTATTACAATATTTATTTCAAACATCTTAAACGGACAAGAGCTAACCAGATTGATATCGTAATTCTTAAAGTATCACCTCGTTTGTAATAATTTACTTTCCACTTTAGTCTTATTCTCTAAGTGGTGCTTATGCAAATTTGCAGTTAACTATATCGCTAATAAAATCTGTGGCACTAGTGAAAAGGGGTACAAGTAAAAAAGTCAACTTTACAAGGAAACGCAAAAACACTAAACGCTTAATATCGTATTAGCTTTGTTTTTTGCGTCCCCTTGTAAAGTTGGGTTTTTTTACTTGTACCTGTTTTCACTAGAGCCACAGAAGCTATCACTGCGATTCTCTCTTCGTGTCAATCAACCTACCTGCAGGACAAAATCTGGCCTCGGGTCCGTCAAATACGCCTAGATTACGTTTGACGGGAACAGAGTCGTCTTGTAGCGTTAGATGGGGAGGTTGATCCGCCTCGTGGTTTGTGCCTGCGTTATAAAAAAAATTAGGTCCAGTGTGTGCCAAAGCAGGACCGCAGAGCAGCGGATTTTAAGCGACCAATAGTACAGTCAAATTAGGTAACTTTGGGTTTTTACGGATATCCAAATAAAAATGTGTTGGTCGAAATAGAAATAAGTTTTATTATGAATGTTCTTTCATATAATACAATATATTTAATACAATAAGTATACAATAATTTAACTAAAATAAAGAAGTCGAAGAAAGTGTTTGAGAAAATTGCGCGGGAGCATTTTAACGCTAACCTGACTTTTGGGTATCTTTGAGGAGGTCAATCTATCAAAAGAAAATATCTTCATTGACAGTTTAACTGACTTGGGTAAGATTATACTAGTATTTTGAATGGAAAGAAAGAAAAACATACAACTTGTCATAGCAAATAAACCATTGACTTGCGGATACAATTTACCAATTAGCAGCTACCAACGGATATAAAAGAAACTGAAGCACACCCACTTTTGACTCATTGAACAACGGGAATGGTCAATGGCGCGTAACTTTCAAAACTTCTTTAATATCTGTCAAAGTTATGTCACATTTGATATCAAAAATACTTCGTTCCGTTTCACGCAGTTATCAATGTGTTTGACTGCAAGTTTTTTTAGAAAAAAAAAGGACCTTAAAACCAATCGTTGTATTTAAAGTTACCCAACTTGACGGTACTTTGTATTTGAAATGTTAAAATAACGATAGACTATTGTTTGCAATAAGCAATAATAACACATTTCTTTCCACTTTGGTTTGGTGAATAATATGTCCTATATATATGTCTAATAATATTATAGACAGTGGAAATTTGAAATGTCGTAAAGAATATTTTGTCGTAATGGAAAATGTACCTTACTACAAAATGTCGCTTACTACATTACACAATTCGATATATAGACGAAATTATTACCCCTATATCGACGGTGGAAAGTCCTAAGAGACATTTTGTCGTAAGGTCATTTTCCCTTACGACATTTCAAATTTCCACTATTGTTATGCGTATTTGTCAACAAGCGTATAGAGCCCAATAAATGCCTCCGCCCGTGTCAGTACTGGTAGACATTGAATATTTAAATAATTCGTCTTCTTCGACTGTTAGTCACACACATAAAAGTTTATTTTTCAGTATTTTTTCTTTTTTTTTAATATATGTAAATTAATTTTTCGTACACCGTACATGTTATACAACGTTACTAAATCGAATTTAGTATATGAAAAATTCACCATAATTACAACAAATTTTCAATAAAAAAACCAAATAACTTTTACTAAAAAGACAAAACAAAAAGAGCTCAGAGAATTAAAACAATTAGAAAAAGTTTTGTTGTATTGATTCTACCTAGACCATTTGCATGATAAGCAAAGTTCATTCATTAGAAGTTGTATAACAGTACCTGTTAAAGCGACGGAAGACAGCAAATCGAATGTGATAACACCATCAGGTTTCGGGTACTCGATTGGTTTGCATTCTTTCGCTGGTTTCAATTTTGCGTGGTCCGCACCTGAAACAAGTTTTTTAAACTTAATTCCACTACGTAAAAGCGGTACTATATGCATATAATATTTTGATATATTTGTATATTATTAAATACATGCATTTAATAATACATCTGCATTGCATTTGCATTGATACACGTATGTGTAAATTTAAAATGTTACATGCACCAAATAAGAGAATTGCATTCAAAAATAGAAATTAATAATACAAATTTGATAACAAGTAAGTTACATAAGTGAAGTAAATATTACTTAGGAGAGTTGTCTTCAAAATACTCGTTATTGAATTTGAGAATTTTTCATTTATAGTTACAATTTGAATTTAAAACAAAATTTGGGTTTTTTCTTTTGTTTTTAGTGTGTCAGGTAGTTTGTGGTAAATTTTTACTGCTCCATAATGTGGGCTATTTCGATACGGGGTGTTGGTAAGACTAAGTTTGTATTTCGACGGTCACTTTTAACAAGTTCAAAATTATTAATATTTTTCCTAACAAAATTTTTTGTTTCCATTAAATATACAGGGTGTAACAGAAAGGTGTGGTCATATTTGAAGGTTGGATTCAGTTAATGGTATGAAACTAGTTAGCAAAGTTGTTTTAGTACACACTACGTTATTTATGGAAATTTCGCCATGAACAGTTTCGATCAGCTGATGTCATTTAACGAAAATAAATAGTCACATCACATCTCTATTGAGTATCATAATACAACCAAATTACGTAACTTGAAAAAATTGTGAAATTCAGGCATGTTATTGTAAATGATAAAGTACTTAATGCCATATTCTTATTACTATGTTATAATTTACTAAATTTATTATTATTTTATTCATGTAATATGCGTGTGAACATTTAATGAAAAATAAATATTATCGATTACTTTGCCAAAATACACTACTTCATAATAAAACTATTATTTAAAACTTAGTACATAATAACGTAATATGGTTTCGTTAACTTCATATCTTCAAACATACAAAATACACAAATTTCCATTTAATATCCATTAATAAAACTAATGTCCTCTAAAAAACACATATTTAAAGTTATCTCTGTTTCTTTTTACCATATCATATGTAATAATACGCATTCATCTATTGTATTTCAATGAATGAAATTTGTCTCTTTTTATCCGTCGGTACTGTTCTAACGCATGGCGGCTAGCGAATTAGTCGGTATGTTTCTTCTAACGCATGACGCAATATGACGCAATTATCCGACTAATACTTCGCACCCTTACAATGAAAGCGGCCTAAATCAAAAAATTTAAAAATGTGTTTATACCGTAAAACCATCTTAAAAAAATATTTTGTTACATTAGTCACACTGTGGTGAAGATGAAATTGTGCAATTAAAGCTCGAATAGCACTGATTCATAAAGGTCCCTTTCATTTTGTTCTTTCAATTTAAAAATTCTACTCCCGCGTCGAAATATTAACGCTGCATTTATTGTTGAATCTGCATTTGCAAAGACAACACGCTGCCACAGACGGATTAGCATTTGAGCCATTTTCGTTCCGAAAATCATATTAAAAAATCACTAGTAGCAGTAGAGCTCCTTGTGAGTTCGTCCAGCGTAGTACTGCCACTTTACCGTGTTACAGTTTTGAAGGGTAAGGGTGCTGGTGAAATTACAGGCACATGGGACTTGTCAACTATGTCTCAGAGAGATGGACGCCGTAGCAGTAGTCTTCGAGCGGCCGTGCTACTGTTATGGACAGGCGTGACGCTTTCCACCGGGTACACGACTTATTCGACCCGTCGCTTAATATTAAAAAAAAATACATTTTTTAGTAACTTAATTTTTAAAGGGACTTACTATTTTGTTTCGTGGACTTTCTTCTTTTTTAATTGTGAAACAGGGACCACAAAACAATATCAAGGGTTATGACATCTTGCTTAGCTGATGAACATTAAAAAGACTTAATTCTTAATACGTTAAATGATAATAAAAAAATCGTTAAAAAAAAGACCTATTGGCGACTAGTTTTTGTAAATTATGTTTTTAAATTGTTGAACATTAAAATGATCAGAAACAATTTTCAGTTCTAAAGTTCCATTTTTCCTCATTATTTTCAAAGACTAATAAGGCCATCACCTTTAGTACTTCAAGAGTAATAAATAAAATAATATGAAAATGTCACAACTTGAAATCTTATTTTGCGTATTCCCAAAAAGTAGAAATTTTGTATTGGGACACTTTCATCGTAAAGGTGCAATCTGAAGGTCGGCAAACGTCAAGAAATTAGTTTTGATCGTTGACCACGAATTAATTATTGTAATTTTCATCTTTTGCTTGGAAATGAAAATATCGGGAGAAAACTTGGATTTCGGAGATAATTGCCGAAATCTTCAAAGATGCGAGAATGTCAAGTCTCCAACCAGTACTTACTATGCAAGTGTAGTGGACTAAACCTTGTGCAAAAATAGTACTTTACTAACTTACATGCGTCTATTGCAGAGCACACGTTTCTAACAACAGGTTTAAGCTTAATTTGACTTATCTACACACGACAACTTTCGATGTGTGGGTTTATGACATGGTGAAATTGAAATAATTAACATCCGTTGAACCTGTTAAGGTTCTTACTGCCTAATAATATCTACTCATCTAAAGAAATATTTTAGAATAGTTTAAATTAGCAATATTGTAAAACCATAAAAAATCTTACCTAAATAAACAAAGTATCAAGATTAGTCGCCTTGCGTACGCGATACGTAATCGTAGCGAAGTCGCAAGTCTTTGGCGGCAACTTTAGCGGCAAAAATATCACCTTTGACTTTCGCCGCCAGCATTTGATTTTATACATCGTGATGTGGAGTAGTGGTTAATGTTAGACTCGTTTCGGAGGTCGTGGATTCGATTCTCATAGTTGACTGGCTCTATGGTGTAGTTGTTAGAGTGTTAGGTTTTCTTTTTGGATGTCTTAGATTTGATTCCCACAGTCGACTGCCTCCATAGTCTAGTGGTTAGAGCGTTAGGCTTTCTTTTCGGAAGTCTTGGATTTGATTCCCATAGTCGACTGTCTCTATGGTGTAGTGGTTAGAGTGTTAGGCTTTCGTTTCGGACGTCGTGGGTTTCCGATGGGTGACTGCCTCCTTAGTGCAGTATATCCGTAATCACCCAGTCAGTTCTTGCGTCGTGTGGAAGTGGTACGGGTGATGGTCAGAGCTATGTTTACAAACAAAGGCGTATGCAGTGCAACGTTGAAGGTCGTAGATACGTAGGATATAGGTATTCGTTTAATGTGTATGTAATGATGTAATTTGTATCATGAGAAGGGTCTTATTTTAAAAGCATGGTAATAATTTTAATTTCATCCTGTAGGTACATTATGAAAACGTTACCCTATATTCCAAAATTTGCGTTTCAGTCGGCGTCCTTTGATGTGCCGCCGCTGAGGCAGAGGCACTATTTTTTAATTTTTTGTAACAGTCTGTAATTGCCGTTTGCGTTGTGAGGACTAAATAGGTGTCATCGTTTTGTTTGTGTCTCGTTTTTGTGTTTATTTAAACTATGTCACGCTTAAGCAATAGTGATTATTAGAGATGATGTTGTGCGTAGGCGCAGCCGATGGGAGCTTGCGCCAGACTCGCCAAATTTATTGATGGCGTCCCAGAAAATCGACGTCGACTATTTCCTACTCTGGAATGCTTCAGGAAGATGGTTATGAGATTTCATAATAGTGGATCGTTCCGTGGTTCCAGTTCTGAAGGCCGGCTGAGTTCACGAGACCCAGAATTCGAGGCAGATGTTTTGGGACATTTTCTCGGCAATCCAAAGACAAGTACTCGTCGTGTTGCGGCAGCCTTTGGTGGTGTGAACCATATGAGTGTGTGGCGTGTGCTACGGGATGATGGCCAGCACCCATACCATTTTCAAAGAACGCAGGAGCTGTTACAAGCGGACTATGATCCACGTTTGGCATTATGCCGCTGGTACCGCGACCAGGTTGGGAGGTCTCCCGACTTCGCTTCGTCGGTACTGTGGACAGACGAGGCGTCATTTACGCGTGCGGGCATTATCAATATGCATAATGAACATTTTTGGACTCATTTGAATCCCCGCGTATCAAGGGAATCAAATTTTCAACACCAGTGGCGGATTAACGTGTGGGCTGGTATAATAGGTTGTGCCGTCATCGGTCCAGTGTTTTTGCCGGCAAGTCTGAATGGGGCCAATTATTTAAGATTCCTAACAGAAGACTTGGATGACGTTCGAGTCTCACGATGGACCACCCGCACATTTTGCTCGAAATGTACGTTCCCATCTGAACGACCGTTTCCCGCAGTGGATTGGGCGGGGAGGTCCTGTACCCTGGCCAGCGCGGTCCTCAGACTTGACACCGCTCGATTTTTTTTTATGTGGTCATATAAAAAATATTGTTTATGCGGAGTCCTGTGAAAGCCCAGAAGAAATGAGGCAGCGGATCGAAATGGCGTTTAGTCAAATCACTCGGCAGATGCTTCAAAGAGTAGAGCAGTCTCTGTACCGACGCACGGAAATATGCATATTACATGGAGGTCGGCATTACCTCAAAACCA